CTTTACAGTAACGTTTAAAACATAAGATTGTATCCTTCATTATATAGAATATTCAACAAAATAAACATGTCATTCAAAGGCTTTAGTCTCTTTAGTATCTAATTTAATATTGTAGAAACATATAAAAATGTTAGTAGAGCTATTAACGTTAAAACAAAAATGAACTTTAATTAAAAACCGAATTATCCAACCTAAAATATCTGGGAATATCGAGCTAACAAGAGCATTGTAGAGAACTGAGAGTATTCGCATTGATTTGTAGCAATTGTTTGTTTCCACGTGGAAGGTTTTAATGGCGGCGTCATGAATGTTGCGTAAACTGAGAATTTTCTTCCGCCAAGTGTTTAGTTCTCCCAGAAGAGTAAACACGGTGTATGTTTCAGTCTAAAGTAAAGATGTATTAACAGAATAGTAAACAAAGAAAAACGTTCAACACATTTTAATGATTGTAAGTCTTTAAATTAAAAATTTATTACCTGTTTAGCAACCCGTTCCTCTATGTCCAAAAGATCTTTAGAAAAAGTGTGCAGTACATTATCTAAACTGCTGCAGTACGCCTCGGCAGTTCTTGGAATTAGTCCAGCCGGCTTAGTAGGTTCTAGCAGCTGACGACTGAATGTTTTGAAGGTGTAGATGCTGTCAAATGTTGGTAGAATTTCTTGAAGCAGGCTTCTCAATGCAGTCTCTGTCAAGCTCAGTATGGTAACCCCACAAGTAACATTGAATTGTCCATTTCGAAGCTCAAATATCGGAGAATTTGTTGGATTACGAAGCATCCATAGGATTTCTCTAATAAGCTGGTATTCGGTCACCTTCTCCGTTCTGACGTCCAGCTTCCCGTTCCGTTCCAGAAGCTCTTCAACCCTACCAGAGTAGTTAGCCTCTGAGACGGGAAACCTTTGTTTTTCACTCCAGTAGGGATACTGGACATTGGAACGGAACCATTTCACTGGATCCTCATTCACTGGAACCCTCTGGTCCTCCAGGTTCAGATATTCTCTGCTCTCTTCCCCAAACACATGTTTAGGAGTTGAAGTCTCCTCATCCGGAGAATCCGACCAATCGGAGAGATCGGATTCAGATCCAAGAGGCTCAAGCTCCGTCTCTCCTTCCTTGAGTATAGCCAACCAATCAATAACCTCTTCCTCCTCTTCCTCTAGGAACAAACCTTTATTCATCATAAATTAGCATAAATTATAGACAAAAGAATTCAAAATTGTAGTCTTTAATCAAATCATTATTTATGTAATGATCAACAAAAATCTTTTTAAAAATCCTAACAATGTGAATAAAATTATGTCTCTGTAAAGTGTGAATAAATCAAATCAATCCTTTAGGAAAGCATTACTTTTAGTCTTCAAATTTGAAATTACTGTATTGAATCAAACCTAAGGTTAAGTCTGATAGTTTGTAATGGACCAATAGATTTAAAAACTTGATCTCAAGAAGTTTAATTTAAGAATAATTCTTGTTCAAAGTTCGGTTTAATTGAACTTTTTGGTTTATGTGACAAGTAAAGTTTGGTTCCTGAAGTAGGTTGAATAGGTTCATATTCCAGGTTTACAGGATTCTCTGCCAGGTTCAGCAGTAATGAAAGCAACCTAGAGAAAAGGGTTGGATAGATTATTATTCTTTGAATGTTACAGTTAAACTTAATTTTCTGAAAAGCCACTGGGGATGGTGCACTGAGATGGCCTCTTCCATAAACTCTCTTCGGAATGAAGGGTGACATTTTAATTCATTCATTTAGGTGGTGTATATATTTTTACTGTCTATTGGATTATTTGTTCCCAAAGGACCCAGAAACGACTAAACCGATCGGGCCACATTTTTATGTGTGATCTGACATGAGTCATGACCAGGGCGACAATTTATGAATGTTCTGAATAAATAAAACTTTTCTAGAAAAATTCAACTTCGATTACGAGAGGGACGCGAAGCGTTTTGAAAGATTAGTTGTAGTATACTTAATACCTGTATTTGATATCGAACTGATGTAAGGGTTCATTGAACACAGGATCTGAGTTATATTTGTTCACCAGTTCATCAAAACATGTTGCCTAGCACCAGCCAATATTCAATAATCCGTCCAAACTAATAAAATTTAATAAGAAACTGTTTTCGAATCCTGTCCGGACCAATTTTTCTTTATGTTTAATGGATCACGAGTTACAAGGAGGGTTGTATTATTAAATACAGGAATTGTCCAAGAACTGACGAGGATCAACCCAATCGAGATATATATAACAACAATTACTTTATTCACTCTATTTAATAAATTTAAATAAGCTAAACACTAATTGAAAACAATCAAATATTTGATTGTAAAATTCTTCCTATTTTAAGACCCATGATGGTATTATTTTGTATTTAACTATAAATAATGCCTCACCACTGAAGACAATTATCCTGTACCTCAATCAATTAAGGTTTCAAGAATACTATTGTGAATCGTTTATAGTTCTCTTGGAATACGTTGAGAGCCCCTTTCAAATAAATGGATATTGTTCCTTCTCTGTCTGTGCATGAATCATAAACTTTTCCATCACCCCCTGGCAGAACAATCATTAAATAATTCAAGATTTTTCAATAATATTTTTAATAATTCATTCTTATTCTTGTTTTTGGTTTTAAATCTATTCGGATATTTTGTCTGTTTTATTAACTTAAATATCTGTTTAAGTTTTTGAAAAAATGATTTCTTACTTGTGTTGTTTTATTAATTCAAAGCCAGACAAAGTTTAATTGGCTCGAAATTTTTACTTTATTCATCACAATATTTAAAAATAGCATTAATAATAATAATTATAATAATAACAAAATATTTCTTAGAATGATTTGATTCTAATTAGATCAACTAATTTATCACAATGATAATGTTATTTCTAAATCTTTGCAACTCGAGGCCGTAAATCTTAAATATTTTAATTTTTGACAACTTGATCTTGCGGAAAACAATGTTTGATTTCTCAAAAATATATATGTTAGAAATTGAAGTTTGAGTCAAGTTCTTTAATATTTATGTTATTGGTTTGTTCTTTCAATAGAATTCTACAATAAACGACTAATTTTTATTTTTAATTGTTTTCTCAATTAAATTAAATTTAATTCCACAATCTACATAAATTTATCAATTAATTCGTCGTTCAGTCGTACATGCACTTAATTTGTCCTAATTAACGAACAGAAGAACAACAAGTGACTTCTAATGCAGATTTAATATGTTAACCAATGTAACTCATACCAAACCACTTTAGGGGTTCTTGGAGAAATCCAAAAACTATCATAAATAAGGTTTTGATTTTTAATTTAATTGATCCAATACGAAGCGGTGCATTCTAAACTAATGATTGTTTCCTCGATTGATTTGTTGATTTTTCTTTGATCCGGGTCCAGATATTTGTGGTAGAGCAGATTTGACAATACGAATCTAAATCAGAGTTCGAAATTAATGAATATCTAGAAGTTGAACTACTTTGAAATGTGGCCGACTCAAGAGTCAGGAGTGCAAAAGAGCAGTAGTTCAACTATATTTTCCTATTTATTAATTCCGATCTCATATAAACCATTAAATACAAATTAAAAAATAATAAATCCATCAAATTTTAAAGATCATAAACTGCAGATTATACTGACTGATTGTAAATTTACCCAAAAAAAGCCCAAGTTGGGATAGTTGTATGATGCAGACCGGAATGAAGTGACATTCAGTCATACAATTTCAGACAAAATTTTTTTTTTTGGAAATCGGATTCGGACCCCTTTTACCTGTTTGATATACTTTTCAGAAATATTCACCTACATTCTACAACTCAAATCAAATCAACTCTACATAGCTCAAAAAAAATATTTCTTGAATTTATCATGTCATATATATTTTTCTTCGTAATTGTCCAAAAAGATTAAATACATTGAAATTTTTGAAAAAAAACCGTCAAAATAGTACAAAAAAGTACATTTTTTTAACCTAACTCAGTCAAGTTTTCAAATTTTCAAAATTGTCTATAGATTTGATTTTTTTTGACAATTACGAAGAAAATGATATATGACATGATGAATTCAAGAAATATTTTTATGTTAAGTATTTCAGATGCTAAAAGTGGTCCGATTTCACCATTCCCCCCCCCCTGAATTTGTTTGACCAAATGTCACTTCATTCCGGTCTGCATCATACAAATATCCCAACTTGTTTTTTTTGGGGTACCCTATTGTAAATCATTCCAAAGGGTTGATTTTAATATATGTTAAATGATGTTGAGCTAAGATTGCTCTTCTAATGAAAGTCATTTTAAGGACTGTGACAGAGACAACAGAGATCCAGCCAACCCAGATGTTGTCCTGGTGTTTTATATTTGTATATTTGTGTTCTTTATTTACATGAGAAATATCATCTGATTAGTATTCATCTGAAGATCTGTACCATTTCAGATAACAATTATACAATGAGATTAGACCTCAATTATTGAGTGAATAGCCATTAGAACCACCAGGAAAACATCCTTAAAGTCTCATTTACATTTATTATGTTTATTGATATTCTAAGCCATTGTAGGCATTCTTATTTTAAACATAATAAGTATGTTTGTGATAGATTTTAAACCTGTCAAAGACCTGAGAGTTGCAGGAAAGTGATTCTATATTATATCTGTTACAGATAAATATATGAGTTCCCAGGTTAGAGCCGGACGTTTTAAAGGTGTGGTGAATAGGGGCGTGGCCGATATGCCTCGATCTGGCGAATCCCTAAGGTTCGTAGATCAACAAATGAGTACACTGAAAGATTGTCATGAACATAATTTTAATAAATAATGCAATACCAACACCTCTATCTGCACGATTTACATACCTTTCGCATATTGGAAAGTTCTCCTCGTCCTCAGAAAACTGAGTAATATGCTTTATAAGGTCTCTAGCCTCCCCCTCCAGTATCTGTTTGGTAGACGACATTTTGTTCAGATCCGCGTAATTTTGTCTCTGTAAATGCCGCCATTTTGAACAAAAAATTTCAATATTTTTTATTTCAATTGGAACATAGGGAATTTTCAAGTTAAAAGTGAGATTGAAAGTACATTCTAAAGACATTGTGACAAATCACCACCATAATGAAAAAATAATATTTTGTAGATTGTCTTGGTAGAAAAAATGAAAAGATTATAGTTGTGAACTTCAGACATATGTAAGGCACTAAAATGTCACAGAAGATGATTTATGTTCTTGAGAAGGAGCTCGTGTTCAGGGATACAGAGGCAGTTCTAGCCGCAGCTTCGGTACACACCTTCATTCTAAATAATAAGACAAAATAGAAGAGATAGACTGTGGAGGGGGGTGGGGGGGATACTGAGAACAAACTCAGATTTTAGTCTCAAGTTTTGCTTATAGCTTCTCAAATATAAAAGATATTTAATAAATATATTTTAATTTAATTTTTAAAATTCTCATGACAAGGGCTAAAAATGCGTACTCAAGAGTCGGCAATGTCAAAGCCAGAGCATTGATCGATCGGCGTACTTCACAAAACAGTTCCTACACCTGGGGCGTACGAGAGTATTTGTGTAGGGGAGGGGGGCACATTTTGCGCGCGTCAGCGCACAACAAAAATTTTTGTGCCCCCCCCCCTTAATAACCCTTTTTTGAAAAAATATTGATACCTTTTTAAACTATGTAAACTATTCGATCATAGACACACTTCCATATTACAAGTGTTAATAAATTATTTATATAATTTTCTTAATACTGTGGTGTAAGCTTCAAGGGATGAAAAATATAGATGGAAACGTTTCTAAAAAAATATCTTTATTTTCTTTATTATATATTGTTTTATAAATTATGATATCAAATATATATTTACACTGAATGCAGTATTGATTAAAGCTTTTTTAATGAAACTTTTTTAGTTAAGGACAAAAGTGAGATTTTAAAGTATTTTTTTTTATACGATGTAATTATACTAATACATGCGTAATTTATAGAGTGGCATGTCCGATGTACCTTTGAAACCTTCATTTCACCATCGTTTCTGAAGCAAGAAATGCCTGAGTCACTTTTGTAGAGAAACCACAAATAAAAATAATCAATTTTCAAAATGGGAAACATTGATATTAAATGCAATACTTGATTAGACATTGAAGGGTATTGTTGTAAATCAGAATACATTTGATTTCTTTTCTTAATCTTTTAGTTTGGGTGAGTGCAATGCAATGTAGAATGTAGATTGCTTGAGGTTGGGAAATGCAAGCAGATGTAATATTAAAATAGCACCCCCCCCCCCTCTCAGGGTGGGCCCTCGTACGCCCCTAACATACACTGGAGGTTTCGAGTGGGTGAATTTATATTACTAGCCTTAGAGGGCGCTTCACGCCCATCTTCTAAATTAATTGTGAACATGTTCTCTTTGTGTACATCGTAATTCGCGGATTTTCACAAAAAATTTCGTGGATTTTTAAAATTTTCAAAAATTGAATGAAGATCGAATTTTGATGGAGACAAATATTTGAAATTTTGAACATTCATAAAAATTTGGGCCCGATCGGTTCAGCCGTTTTGACGTTTATTGGATACAAACAGACAGACAGACAAACAGACAAGCCAAATTTATATATAGAAGTAAAAAAAGCTGAAAACAAGCAACTTAAATCAGACTTTTAGGGACGCCCTATCAAGAATAATGATCTATATGTGATTTTATAGCTTGTAAAAGATATTCAGACATATCTTTTAACATCAAACCACACGAGCAAGGGAAGGCACACCACAACATTTAACGTCCGCACCACAAATGACGTCACAATTCACCATTATTTCTTCCGACCACACCTTTTTTCAAGGACCAAACAAATGATTTTGAATGAGAATACCTGCCTGTTAAAGTCTAGTTTACACCCCCCCCTCACATCCCAGAAATTACTTACATTCTGTAACAATCTGAACTAACCTTTGAAGCTGGTCAACTGCATGAGGGAGGATCGGTCTGAAGGCGGATAGTTCTAAGGATTGAAGATGATTGATCTTAGCGTGAAGGTATTCTCCCTGTATCAACGCATCCACAGACTTTCTCAGCTTAGACTATGAATATATGAATTAATAAAAGGGACTGTATGCGTATTGTTCAATTGACCCTCCATACAAACATAGCAATGTCCGATTTACAACAGTACCCGTAAAACCTTTATCTGATCAAAAATATACCGTCGTTTTCCAGAGTCGAAAAGTTTTACACCTTATTTTTAATACCTGTCTTATATCCCAGATATCCCTGAGAGTTGACCGTATTTTGTCAGAGTTTTTAATACTTTCAGAGGTCACATCTAGTCATGTTCACAATCAGAAGCATTTTAAAAAAGAAGAAAAAAAACATTTATTTTAAATTGTAAATTGTATGCGGCAAATCTTAGATGTTAGAAAAATAAAAATTGAAGATTAGAGGGAGGTCATTATATCAAATTATCAATAAAGAAATGAAGGAAAGAAAAGTTTCGTTTCGATCGAATCATAATTTTATCATGGTTTTCTTCTAAATTGTTCCTAGTAAAATATTTGATATCTCGAACATATTTTCAGCTGGTAATTGAGTAAACACAGCACTCTCCCTCTCATCTTCCTTGCACTCGGTAAGTCTGAAACAGAACAGAACTTATACTTATCCAACTAAATATATTGTTGGAATGTATTCTTCACAATTTGATCTTTTTATTGAATGAGGACATTAATCATCTTTAATCCTAGGAATTTACTGAATAAAAAATGTATGATAAAAGGTTGAATGACTCATGGGATTTCCAAACTGTGGTGCACTTTCTTCATAATTCAATAATACACGAAGTTGTTGACAATTTAACAAATAATTTTTGAATTCAAATCTGGAGAAATTTTTATCCTTAAATAGGCAGTAAACAGTCCACACTCCATATATTGGAAATCACAAAATTATTGGCCATCATTGTGCATTGTGTTGCGTACTTAACATTATTAGGTTCACGAATGAATTTGCATAGAACTAACACGATTTTATTGGTACGCCCTGTATAAATTAATTCATAAATTACCTTTCCAAATCCATCCACTCCGGGGTGACTATCATACATTTATCACTTTGTCTAAAAAATTCAATAAGTTTAGAATTACACCAGGATTAGAAATACCTTCTGCCACTTGATTGCTATATTTGGACTACACAAGGGTGATACAGTGGTATCCACAAAACTGAGGAAATAAAGCAACTAGTTTTGCCAGTAGCTTAAAAATCAACTTACAAGGTGATATGGGCCAGTGTACACTTCACAATTGCCGTGTAGGACTATCAAATCATTTTCTATTCCAATTTTTAAAGTCCCACTGTAATTTTACACTCTACACTGTATAGTAATGTTTATGTAAGATTGTAAGGGTACTTAAATCTTTATTTTATACCTATTACCTAAGCATAACGGCCTGCCACAGAGGCACATTCATGGGTCGACCAGCCTTAAAGGGTCCTACATCTCCCTACAATTAAATAAAAGGCTTGTTTAAAAATATGAAAACTTAAAATCAAGCTAATACTTTTATATTGATGTGAAGAACGAAAGTTTTCCAGTTAAAAAAATATCATATTTACTTACTTAAAAACACTTTTTGAATAATCTTATCAACTCAACTCAATACTCATATAAACTCAAATCAACTTGAATCTAAGATAAACCCAAATCACCTTGGAACTATGATCAATCAACCTAAACTTAAAACTCGGATCATCTGAAATCAACTCAATTAAACTTCGATCTTAGATCAAATCAACTGGAATCTCATCTTAACTCAACTTTACTTGAAACTCGGATCATCTTAACTCAACTTGAAACTTAGATCATCTTAACTTGAAACTCATTTCAATTCACCCCATCTTTAAACACAGATCAACTCTATTAAACTCTATTCATATCAGATCAATTCACCTCAACTTTTAACTCAGATAAATTCAACTGAACTCGTATCAACTCAACTGACTCAGATTAATTCAACTTTTAACTCAGATAAATTCAACCAAACTCAGATCATTGACCCACCTGAATGAATGTCATAACCCCGTGTGTGAATTTAGGATTGATCTCGACAGTTTGATTCTCAGCCAGGAATTCATATTCCGTAGGTTCCATTTTTCTCTAGAATGTTCTATTATTACTTGGTGCTTTGTATAAAGATATGAGCGCGTGCACAGCGGTTCAATTCTTACTATAAAGTTCATCTATTAATAAAGTTTTAAAAAATCTGACAGGGGTGTATATTAATCATATTTTTTCCCAAATCCACTACTTAATAAACAGGTATATTTTACAGGTTTCTGAAGCCCGCAGTACAATGAAGCGTTTTGGTGCCCTAAAAAGCTAAATTTCATGGCCCCACCTGATTTTTTTTCGGCATTTCTGATACTGTTAAAAAAAAAATGTGTGGTTTTTCACACTCTTTCTTTCCCTTTTACCCTCCCTTCTCCCTCCCCCCTTTTCCCTTCCCTTCCCCCGTTTTCCTTCCCTCTTGCCCCTTTTCCCTTCATTTTTGCCCCTTTTCCCTTCCCTCTTCCCCTTTCTCCCTTCCCGTTTTCCATTGTCTCCTTCCCTTTTTCTATTTTCCTCTTCCCTCTTCCCATTTCCCCTTCCCTCTTCCCCCTTTTTCTTTCCTCTTACCCTTCCCTTTCTACACACCCCTGAAAAATCAATAACAAGAAAAAACAACTTTGTAAATTTTGTTGCGCAAACAAAGATTTCTTCCAATAAAAACAATTAAAAAATAATAAAAAATTCAAAAACGTCAAAAAAACAAATTCGTAAAATTTGGATTTACTTCGGGAAATTTTGTAAAGGAATCTTAAAAAATTTCTGCAGAGGAGAACAGTTCCAAATCGTGATTATGGCCAATATTGATAAGTTTTAGAAAAAAGAGTATTGTTGAGAAACTTATTTTCGTATCGCATCGTATATTGAACTATTATCTCCTGTAATAATACAACTTAGGAATTTAAGTCTAAAAACGTTCATTTATAAGCTTTTAGCACACAACACATATGACTAGACAGAAGATATGAGACATTATTTAAACAAATTTAAACTACACCATTTATATATGTATTTAAATCTTTGTGTGTGAATAAATCTTTATAATAATAATAATAATATTGTATAATGAATATAAAATATGAATATAGCTAATACATAATATAAGTAATTAGTAAACGCTGTATAGTGTATATTATGGTACAATAAATGGTTATCGGTATTATAAACCCCATCCTAAGAATATTGATATATTAGGCTTGTATTCACTTACCTTGAGATCCTGTAACCCGACCAGGGTAAAGGGTGAATCTGGATAAATTGAAACGCCATCCTTAAAATATTGAATTTTGAGAAATTAAAACCATTTGTTGAAAAACAATTTTATGAAAACTAGGCTTTTAGGGCGCTTCGCGCCCATCTTCTATTTAAATTGTGAACATGTTCTTTTTGTTTACATTTTAAAACAAAGAAAAAATTTTTGCGGATTTTTCAAAAAAAATTCGCGGATTTTCAAGAATTTAATTTTTTTTTACAAAATTAAAAACCTTTAAAACATATTTTTTAAAATTTTTATCATTCAAAAACCTTCCCTGTGGTCACGTGATGTCCCACAAAAAATTTGGGCCCGATCTGTTCAGCCGTTTTGACGTTTATTGGATACAAACAGACAGACAAGCCAAATTTATATATAGATGGTGCCAAATAAAACCGAAGGTTTCTAACTCTTTTATAAAGGGACTGAAAGTGTATTTTCAAGTTACCCTCCATGCAAAGATATCAATGCCCGATTTACAACGGTAACCTTAACATTTAATCTGATCAAAATCTGGAATAATATGTTGTTTTATTCTGTTTATTTATATGAATACTCATATGCAAGAAATGCACAAGTCACATTAGCAGAGAAACCACAAATGAAAATAACCATAAAACAATTTTTAAATAAACAAAAACATGGATATCTAATGCATACTTTATCAAACAAAGCCTTTAAGGGGTACTGTTGTAAGGCGGGGCATTTTTAAATAAACAAAAACATGGATATCTGATGCATACTTGATCAAACAAAGCCTTTAAGGGGTACTGTTGTAAGGCGGGGCTTTGCCATCTTTGCAGGGTTATTTAAACATTATTGACATGATAAAACCAAACCTTAAGTTTAAAGAGAGGCCCGTCTTTGGTGAGAAAGACATCCTTTCTGTCCTTGCTACAGGGCTGGTAGAGGGTCTCCAAGGACTGCTGGACACCACTCGTCTTATCCACGTACTTAGTCCGCAGAAGAATGGATACATTTCGTCCAACCACCTTTCATGAAATAAGTAGAACATAATTCTTTCAAGGTTTAATTTGGTAGATTGTCCTTTTTATAAAAAAAGGGCTATCGATAAAAAGTAGGACATAAAAATCAGAACTGCTCTGATAGCATTTTTTTTTGCAAAAATCTGATTTTTTGCCGTTAAGAGTTTTTAAAAATTCCATATTCAATACGAGGCCTTACAAGAGAGTTATAAACAAGTAGACAATGTTTAATGGTAAGATATTCTTAATTTGAGACAAAGCAAAGATTGAGCTAGCAATTTTATTCGAGATATGTTCAATTTGAAAATCCCAGTTAAAAATTCGTCAAGTTTAAGTCCAACAAATTTGAAATATTTGTTCACACAGTCATTACCAATACTTTTAAGTATCTAATTTCCCATTGATATATTACAACTGTTGGGGTCAAGGTGCATATTTCTATTTCTAAATACTATATACTTTGTTTAGGAGACATTTAGTGTCGAAACGATTTGCTTGAAACCATTTTGCTTCTTTTTTAGTTCAGTGTTTGCATCAAGTATTAGGCTTGCAATGTCAGGAGATGACTTTAAAAAACTAGCATCATCTGCAAAGAGGCTGGTAAAAAAAGATGTTACTAGTCCCTTTAAAGAAGATAGATGAATCAAAATGGATGAATACTTTTATTGTAAAAAAGTGCATAAAGGGGCTATCGTAGAAATCTCTAGTGACTCGTCGAATTAAGAGTGTATGTCCGATTCACACTGGCGGTACCATTTAAACCGTTATCTAATCCATAATGAATTATCATGGATATCTCAATTATATCACAAAAAAGCTTTAAAGGAACCTTTTATATAGGACATTCCACTCTTTAAATGAAGGATCACTAGAAATTGCGTCTTCAGTCCTTTTAGTTTTTAACCTTGTATACTGTATNTGTATAGTGTATAGTGTATAGTGTATAGTGTATAGTGTATAGTGTATAGTGTATAGTGTATAGTGTATAGTGTATAGTGTATAGTGTATAGTGTATAGTGTATAGTGTATAGTGTATAGTGTATAGTGTATAGTGTATAGTGTATAGTGTATAGTGTATAGTGTATAGTGTATAGTGTATAGTGTATAGTGTATAGTGTATAGTGTATAGTGTATAGTGTATAGTGTATAGTGTATAGTGTATAGTGTATAGTGTATAGTGTATAGTGTATAGTGTATAGTGTATAGTGTATAGTGTATAGTGTATAGTGTATAGTGTATAGTGTATAGTGTATAGTGTATAGTGTATAGTGTATAGTGTATAGTGTATAGTGTATAGTGTATAGTGTATAGTGTATAGTGTATAGTGTATAGTGTATAGTGTATAGTGTATAGTGTATAGTGTATAGTGTATAGTGTATAGTGTATAGTGTATAGTGTATAGTGTATAGTGTATAGTGTATAGTGTATAGTGTATAGTGTATAGTGTATAGTGTATAGTGTATAGTGTATAGTGTATAGTGTATAGTGTATAGTGTATAGTGTATAGTGTATAGTGAATAGTGTATAGTGTATAGTGTATAGTGTATAGTGTATAGTGTATAGTGTATATTGTATGTTGTATAGTTTATAGTGTATAGTGTATAGTGTATAGTGTATAGTGTATAGTGTATAGTGTATAGTGTATATTGTATAGTGTATAGTGTATAGTGTATTGTGTATAGTGTACAGTGTACATTGTATAGTGTCCTATCTACCGAATATTTACCTGTACATTCACATCTGATGGAAGCTGTGCTACTCCCTTCCAATCTAGTTTAAACACTATCTCACACTCATTGTAGAATACAGAGGGAGTAGCTTGAAGGGTCAACACACCATCCAAACCATTGTTTGCGGACACCTGGACAAATATAATTCATTTCTACTTCATTCATTTTTAAACCAGAGGTAGGAATTGTTGAGTGGAATATAAATATTCTTGAACGTTTGATCTCGTTATTCAATGCTTGATCTAGAGACTCAAATCAAAAAAATTTTGACTTCAGAGTACCTAAAGCGTCAACACAGCCCACAGGGTCAAAGCAGAAAAAAGAAGTGTCCTAACTGCATACTTCCTTAATGTGCATTAATTTCATGCAAAACTATATTAGTCAGTCAAGTTTTATCATACATAGTCCGCATATTTTAAAACAGTCAAAGAAAGAAAATACCTGTCCATGAACCCAGCTCAGGTTTGTATCATCCTGGTTCCATTTTATTCCCTGAGGAAACTCAAATCTAAACAATACTGTTCAAATATACAGTTCTCAAACTGTCCAGTATACAAACGTAAATTATTTTGTTCGTTTCGTTGTAAAATTGCTTAAATGTATAGTTAAAATAATAAAGTCCAAAAACATACAGAACAGATAAGTACAGCACAGTACAAAGAACAGAACAGTACATTGTAGTAAATTAGAAAACAGTAGAGAGTCGTTCAGTACAGAGCAGTACAAAACAGTACAGGTGTGTTTACCTTCCGGATGATGATGCTAGGTTAAAGGGGGAGAACAGATATTCAGGTCGGGTCAGTCGGAAAAATGCTTTCTGTTGTACAGAGCATTTTCGTTGCCTGACAAACAATTCAACTCAAATATTCAAAACCTTGAAAAGTATTTTTTTCTACTGCTTTTTTTCAAATCCAAACTTTTGACGTTAGGAGTGTCGAGAA